TGACTCGACGGCACATAACAACAACAACAACATAGAGATTAGGATATACAACACATTTTTGGGGGACATAATTCAATCTATAACAGTCATATTTACAGGTACAAGGGTTAGGATTTCAATATAACTTTTTTGGGGTCACAATTCAATAACAATAGGTGAGATGCTGAACAGGTGGACATTAGATTTAACAAGAGTTGTGGTTTTGCTAAATAAATGAGAGGGCAAAGGAACTGAAGGTGTACAAGGGACTGATTATGAGTGACCAGGAAATTTAAAAAAGCATGAAGGTGAAGAACAGTGTTAGTGTTAGGGTCCCATGGGCACTAAAGCATTGAAGAATGCTTCAATGTGGTACCACAGGGAGTGAGATGTAAAGATAGCAAATAGTCATTGGACAGTGATAAACACAAAAACTGGTATGATATTACTCACATGGGATTGCCATGAAATGGAAAGAACTCAAAAGCAACTGGTTTGGTTTTTTTGTTTGCTTTACATATTATTTATCGGTAATTAATAGGTCTAGGGTATTGACCATGGGAATGTGTGACTGCACTGGGTGGAAGAAAAGGTCAATGGAGAAGAGTTCAGGAAACTGAGGGGCAAGAATATGAAAGATCAAGATATATAGTCAAATCACCAAGAATTTGAAAACATTGGAAAGAGCAATAGTAAGCCAAGATCCAAAACTGCTGTACTATCAGAGAGAGTAACAGTAATAATGAGGGGGTAATGCATAGTGTCATGAGATTAAAAACTGAGGGGCTTTAGAGAAGATGAAGGAAAATAGTCTGGAAGAAGCAATGAGGAAGCCACCTCTGTGCTAAGCAGTAGATGAAGGCTATGGGAGAAAAAATAACCATCTCCTGAGAAGTCTGCGGCAGAAGCAGTATATTGTTAGATGAGATTTCTTTAACAGGAAGAGGGTATAGCAATCAAAGTCGGATCAGGGCAAACCACTGATTGCTCTTGGACACATGTACTGGAGGTTCACCAAAAATTACAGCATAAACAGTCAATTCAAGCTCTTGCTGTCTCATATAAAACATTTTGTGTACCCTGAAGTGGGTGTTATATGTAAAAATTTTTACAAAATCTAATGTTAATTTTCATCAAACAAGGAAGTTGAGAAGAGGGGAAACATTTCATAAAGAAGAGTTCTGATAATATCAACAGTAACAAGTTCAGTGAAGACTTAAAAATGTTTTTCATTTTGTATTTGTTGATGATGTACAAATATAAAAGGATAGAATCTAGCTTAGAGCTTTCAGTGATGGATAGATTAGTAGAAAATATTTAAATTAACAGGGAGGGAACTCATTATCCATAGATGATGTCTGTCCAGTCATTAGGCAGTTCAGTGTAACCAAAAGTCCTGGAAATGGGGAAAGGAATCTTTTCAACAACAGAAAAAATAGTACTGGAACAGTAACAATATTAAATAAGTAATTAAACCTGACCCTTACCCTATTATATATAAAAGTAACTCACAATGCATCCTAGGCCTAAAGTTAAACACTAAGCTATAAAATTTCTAAAGGAAAGCAAAAGAGAAAATCTTAGTCACCCTACATTTGGTAAGTATTTTTCAATATGATTTAAAAAAGCAAACATGAACTGAAAAAGAAAATCAATAAATTAGACTTCCTCAAAAATCAAAAATTTTTGCTCTGCAAAAAGATACTACTCAGAAAATGAAAAAGGAAGCCACAAAGTGAGAGAAAATATTTTAATACAATGTACTTGGTAAAGAACTCTGGTAGTGTAGTGCCTAAGCCACTTGACTGCTAACCAGAAGGCTGGCAGTTCAGCCACTCCTTGAAAGGAAGGTTGGGCAATCTACTTCCATAGTGATACCACCTTGGAAACCTCGGGTCTGACTCAACGGCACCTAACAACAACAATCTCAATAAGAAGACAAACAGCCAAATTTTAAAAATAAGCAAAAGATTGGAATAGTCACTTCACCAAAGATGATACATGCATGGTAAATAAATATATAAAAAGATGTTTCACTTCTTTGAAGAAATGCATATTAAAAATAATGTAGACAACTTACAAACTGGGGGGGGGG